CCTGAGAGTCGACGAGGCGAAAGGTTGGAGCTCTCAGTTTGTGAGGGAATGGTGCGCCGACCACAATGTAACGATCGAGGTTGCACCTGCCGAAGCCCACTCATGGCTGGGTGCCTGTGAGCGCCGGCACCAAGTGGTGCGTCGTGCCCTGGAGCTCTACATGGACGAGAAAGGAGAGAGGACTGTGAAGACCCTGGCCGAGGCTGCGATCTACATCCCGGGCCAAGTGAACAACCTCTCCTTCGTCAAGGGCTTCACTCCACACCAGTGGGTTATGGGTCGCAGCCCCATGCAGGCTACAAGCTTGACCGCCGATTTCTTTAACCCGGGGCACGAGCCGATGGACGAGAACACCGACTTTGCCACGCTGGAACGCCGCAGGTTCGATGCGCGACAAGCCTTTCTCAAGGCCGACACCGATGCCAAGCTGCGCCCGGCAATGAACCAGAACTTCCGGGACAGCGTCGACAAGACCCCTGCTGTCGGACAGCGTTGCTGGTTTTGGCGCGTGCAAGGAACGGGTATCCTTCAAAAGAACAAGTGGCGTGGACCTGTACGGGTGGTGGCGCACGAGCACAACGACGACGGCAAACTGACGGTGGTCTGGGTGACGCACGGGACGCACCTTATCCGAGGCTCTCCTGGACAAGTGCGCCCTCTAGTGGAGCAAGCTGGCTCGGCTCCCGTTGCCGATCCGGCGGCGGCCCTTGCGGATCTCCAGGACCTCAAGGCGCGAAGCACCACGCAGTTCCGTGATGTTTACGATGGGGGCGACCCCTTCCTGGAGGATATGGTCGATGGTGCGCCGCCCGCGGAGGATCTTGCGGAGTACTCTCCTAGCCTTCCTGGCGACGCCGACGCCGAAGATGTGAACATGGAGCCCGTGCCTGGAGCTGTTCTTTTGTACCAACGCCAGGCTGAGGACCGTGCTCTACCCGTACGCCGTCGCCTTGCTTCGGAAGAGCCTGACCCAGAGGACCCTGAAAATGCCCCGCCCACCCGCCCGGCTTCGCCCAAACGTGCCCGTGCTTCCGCTGCTGCCGCTTCCTCTTCTCCTTCTCCCCCTCAGGTGGAGGTGCCTGCCAGTCACCATGACGTGCCTGTTCCTGCGGATGATGATGATGACGACTTGGAGGTGGAAGAGGTCTACATCGTTGATACCAGTTCCCGTGACCTAGCTCAAGGGTGGCTTATAGTGGATGGCGAGATGGCTCTCGACGATGCTTACATGGCACGGACGGAAGCACGCGAAAAGACGATGACAGTCGACGAGAGGGCACAGATAATGGAGGCGAAGAAGAAAGAACTTGAATCTTTTTTCAAGAATCAAGTGTGGCAGTTTACCACACTGGACAAGGGCGATGAAGGTCGAGTTGTTACTGCTCGCTGGGTGCTTACCTGGAAGCCTGGCGAAAATGGTGCAGCTCCCCGTGCAAAGGCAAGGCTGGTACTACGTGGTTTCCAGGACCCCGACGTGCTCACTCTCGACAAGGCCAGCCCTACAGCCTCGAAGCAGTCGAAGTTTCTTATCCTCGGCCTCACCCCCATCTTGGGCTGGAGGCTCTATGGTGGCGATATGCGTACTGCCTTTCTTAGCGGTGCAAACTTTGAGCGGAGGATCATTGTGCGACTTCCTGCCGATTGTGGCCCTTTGCTCGGCAGCAATGGCACAGGCGGATCCACCTACATGAGGCTCCTCAAGAGTGCGTACGGCTTGGCAGATGCACCTTTGCTTTGGTGGCGGGAAGCAGATCGGCGACTTCGTGAAATGAAGTGGAAAAGGTATCCCTTGGACAGGTACCTCTACTGCTTCTACGGCACCGATGACGACCTCCTTGGAGCAATTATCCTCCACGTAGACGACATCCTTGCGGGAGGAAAAGCTGAAAGCAAGGAGTTCCGTGACACCGTCGCCTACCTCAGGGAGCTCTTCGACTTCGGCAAGTGGGTGGAAATGACCGGAAAACAGAGCATGATGTACTGCGGCGGCCTCTTGGAGACTGCGGGCCCCAATGTGATCCTCTCCTTCGGTGATTACGTGCGCAAGGTTGCCCCAGTTATTGTAAATAACAAGGGCGGCCAGGAGCGACCCCTAACGAGCTGGGAGGTGACCAAAGTGCGGGGCCTTCTTGGAGCTCTACAGTGGCCGGCGACTCAAGGCTTGCCACCTTTGTCCGCTTCGGTGTCCCTTCAGGCGGCAGACGTGAACCAAGCTACCACGAACACTGCAGCTGAGCTCAACAAGACCCTTCGCTTCGCCAAGAGCCTCGCTAAGGAAACCCTCACCATGACCAAGGTGACCTCCAGCCTAAACAACGCCTGCTTTGTGTGCTTCAGTGACGCTGCCTTTGGTGTTCGCTCCGACCACTCCTCGCAGGGCGGCTACGTGATCCTCCTGACCGACAAGTCCGTGCTCAAGGGCGAGACAGTGGAGTACAACGTGCTGAGCTGGAGGAGCTTTAAGTTGACAAGGGTGTGCCGCTCTTCCCTTGCTGCAGAGGCCCAAGCGTGTGCAACAGCAGTGGACGAGCTAATAATGCTGAAGACCATGGTGTCGTTGATGGTCGACCCCATGCAGGACCCCAAGGCAGTGGAGACGGCTCGGAACACTGGTGCTTCGGCTGTGGTGATCGATGCGAAAGCTTTGTTTGATGCATTATAGAGGAAGGGCTTTAACAGCCAACAGGACAAGCGGTCGGCAATCGAGATCCTCTGCATCCAGCAGGAGATCGAGCGCTTGGGCGCTGAGCTTCGTTGGGTCAGCTCGGAAAGGATGCTGGCCGATGGCCTGACAAAGGCAAGCAGTCGCCAAATGATGACGGATATACTGAGGACCCGCAGGATATGTCTGAAGTACGACCCCAACTTTGTGGCTGCGAAGAAGAAGATCGTGGAGGAGCGAGCAAAAGCTGCGGTAGCAGCCTTTGGCGATCGAGCATATGGCTCGAGAGCGGCGCGCCAGATCGCAACGGTTTTGGCGCTAAGCTGTGTGGCCGGCACCGAGGGGGCAACCACCGACTACAACTACATGGTTGACCTCGGGGACTTCGGTATGATCGCTTTGAACCTCCCCGGCTACTACCTCTTCGGGGACTTTCTGCTGGTGTTCTTCGGCTACCTGTTCCTCAACACCGTGTGCAAGGCAACGACAACGAGCCCAACAAAGACAACGACCTCTACGACCGAGACCGAAGCCCAGACCGATAACGACTACCACCGGCTAAAGGCTATGTGGCGACGACAAGGGGAGCTCATCCGGGAGCTCAGACGCGAGATCGAGGGATCCACGAGCTCCTCACACAGTGGAACCAACCGCTACCACCTCCTCAACCACACCCTCAACCTCGTGTACCAGAAACAGTGCACCTCACGACGACTGGAGAACGGTTCTCAAGACGGAGGTTTCACATTAGCAGCGAGTGCCGTCACCTTCGAGGGTGTACAGTGTGTTCAATCGCCCCATGTGCAGACTGCACCCGGCGACAACAGCAGTGCTTTTTCCAGAAACGGGGGAGCCACAAAGTGGCATCTGAAGCTATCTTATTTTCCTCCCCTCGTGTCAAGATCTGAATCCTGCCAGGACTTTGGAGAGCTGCAGACGCGTCGCGATGTACCGCGGCTGTTCGGACTCAAGGGAGGGCTGCAGGCCATTACCGCTGCGGAAGTGTGAGAAAGTATCTATAGAAAGGGTTTTGACTTCGTGTGCAGAGCCCAATGAGTTTACCAACTCTTAAAGTAATATATTAAATAAATATCAAGTATCGTATATTCATAGTTTTTGTACACCAAATATTATATATATACTTATATAAGAAAGATTTTTATAAGTAATAAACTTAAATATATAAAATAAATAAATTTTCTTAATACTTAGTCTTTTTTCTTATATAATTTTTCTTATTTCTAAAAAACCTCAAATTCTAAATCTAAAGAAAAAATATGCTTCTATATATATTTTTATATCAATAAATATTCATTATAAAAAAAGACTTTGCCTCCCCAATCAAAATTGCATTCGAATATTAGAGAACAATATTTAAATAAAAAATTTCAGAACGGCTCAGTAGACCTTATATCAATATAAAGCCAATCAATTATAGCAAAGGAATAATGTCATAACTCATCTCATGCTTAAAATATTCATTTAAATTAGTTGTCTTAAAGTTCGGTATTCATTGTCGAGCTTCCAGAGAATTCCGGTTGTAAGAGCACGGAAATTTTACGAAATTCTAATCAGGCTATCATACGAAATATATATCGGAAGTACAATTCGAATTATTAGACATAGTAAGCGCTCATATTGCAAATCTCGAAAAAGTAAGCGGATGACCCGCTCAGCAAAAAGAACACGACAGAAAAGGGTGAGGATCTCCGACGTCTCAATATTCTGTTGAGAGCACTGACCCCGCTAAGTGAACACGACTACGAAGTTTCATGGAAGCTGCGCAGGAGACTCCGGGGTTGCCGACGACGGTGGATTCGAGAGAACCCGATGTTCTGCAAAAGGTAATTACCCGAATACATCTCGACTCAACACTCGCCCAGACCAGAGCCTGCAGCTAGCACTTCTCAGCGACATGTGGGAGGAGCACCAAGATTGCGAACAAAAGAAGCACACACCGCGAGCGATTGCAGGCAATCTACGCCAGATGCTGCGGATAGGAAGCCATAACAGCATAAGCAGCTGCAAAATTTCGCCGGGATGGTAGCACGAAAAACCTGTTTCCAGCATTTCGGCGCTAGTCGTTTACAGCAATCGAATCCCTTGCAAGACCTCGCATCTTTGGCCAAGGTCAAGAGTGAGAGTTCCAACTGGGTCACAACCTGTACCTTTGGCAAGCGGTGCTGTGCAAAGCCGAACCAGATGCACGGGATGAAGCTGCTGCATACATGTTCTCGGCTCGTGTACAGCTTGCAGAAGGTGAAAACCGCGTGGCTTTGGATCGCTCTGGCTTTGGAGCTCCCCGGCCCACGGCAACGCTCTCGTCGCAGCTCTTGTCTCACATAAATTGCTGCGTGGATACGTGCGCCGGATTCACGATCGGAACCTCGGGGTGCGAACTGTCAGATAGACTTCTCTTCAGGACTCTGAGGGCTGAACTCCCGCAGGCAAAGGCGCGTTGCCCAGCGGCGTGACCTCAGAACTCACACCAACGAGTCACGCAGGCAGACCGGCGAAGAAGACCCGCCTGCAGTCCACTCGGCGTCACGGTCACCAGATCATATCCAGCTTCCTTCGTTCGCAGCTGCTCGCGGAGTCGAATCATGAGAAGAGACCTCTGAGCTTCCGGCCGTCGGAGGCAGAGGAGCTTCCATGTAGGGACCCAGGCCAGGAGCAGGCTGATATGACCTGGTCGTAGCTCAGAGAAGACCTTGAAAGGTCTTTTCCCTGTTCTTGGGGCTCCGGGCGAGGAAAATCCCGAGGGCATGCCAGGGTCGTAGGCTGCCATTGTGCCCCCCGTTGGGCCCCCCGTTGGGCCCCCCATTGGGCCCCCCATTGGGCCCCCCATTGATCCCATCATCTGCTGGGTCGGCAGCGACTGTGCATTTGCCATCATGTACCTCGCTTGTGTCGGAGTCACAGTCACAGGTCACTTGTGAGCACCACGCCGAGTTCGCTGCCCAGGTGGCGCCGGCGGGCCAGACAACCCAGCCCCAGGCGCTCCAGCCGCCATGAGGGGGAGCTGGCCACGAACAGAAAAGTCGACGAGACTGAAAAACAAAGCCAAACTTAGTAGTAAACCTCCCTGCAGCTCAGTGCACCTGGTCTTCCGGATCGTACCTCCAAAAGAACGCCATAAGCAGACCGAGCTGTTGTAGCGCCTGCGGCTGACACTCCCGCGGATCTCGAGGTCCGGTCACGCAGCCCCACCTAGGAGCGCGCACCACCCACAAACACAGGCACACACACCGTCACACATCCCACCAGGACCTTGCCTGCAGCTTGGAGAAGCTGTTGCGAGCAGCGAAGCACCACTGAAACGGCCTGAGCCGATCGCACGGTCACGCGCATAAAATGCACGCTGCTACTCCCCATTAACCCCACAAGGCTCACTGGCGTCCATCAAGGGTTGGGGTTCACATGGTCCCGTCGTAATGCTCTGCGGCTTTGCAAAGTCCACGTAGGTCCATGGCAAGTATCCATCCAGCTCGGGGAACCGGTCCACCTCAGCCACGGTGACGGCATTCTGAATGGGGTGCTGGATTCTTTTGGGCATTATATTTTCTGGTTTTTTCTCTATATTTTTGGTGTTGTCGATTCGATCCATATACAAAACTTGCAAGAGTCACAGGGATGGCGAGAACTGAGGCTGTACGAGATCTTTTCTAGTGAATTTTGATGGTTTTGGGCCTACTGGTCTTCGGCTATGCCGGCCCCGCCAGTCTACCCGGTTGCCTTCCGTGTCAGTTCAGGCTCTGGGTGTCTTGGCTTTGTGGATTTACGTTCTGGATGGCACGATGTTTGTTTTAAAGCAAGCTTGCGCGGTCCAAAA